CAAAAAAGGTCAAAAAGGTCTGTCTTCAACTTGCTTCAAATTGACTAAATTTTTTTTTCAAAATCATCTACGTGTTCTCAGAAATTCAAATCTGACTTAAGATTTGACTTAAGATTTGACATTTGACCTTCAATGACCTTCTCAAGGTCAAAAAAGGTCAAAAAGGTCTGTTTTCAACTTGCTTCAAATTGACTAAAAAAATTTTTCAAAATCATCTACGTGTTCTCAGAAATTCAAATCTGACTTTAGATTTGACTTAAGATTTGACATTTGACCTTCAATGACCTTCTCAAAGTCAAAAAAGGTCAAAAAGGTCTTTTTTCAACTTGCTTCAAATTGACTAATTTTTTTTTTCAAAATCATCTACGTGTTCTCAGAAATTCAAATCTGACTTTAGATTTGACATTTGACCTTCAATGACCTTCTCAATGTCAAAAAAGGTCAAAAGGGTCTTTTTTCATCTTGCTTCAAATTGACTAAATTTTTTTTCAAAATCATCTACATGTTCTCAGAAATTCAAATCTGACTTTAGATTTGACATTTGACCTTAAATGACCTTCTCAAGGTCAAAAAAGGTCAAAAAGGTCTGTTTTCAACTTGCTTCAAATTGACTAAAATATTTTTAAAATCATCTACGTGTTCTCAGAAATTCAAATCTGACTTTAGATTTGACTTAAGATTTGACATTTGACCTTAACTGACCTTCTCAAAGTCAAAAAAGGTCAAAAAGGTCTTTTTTCAACTTGCTTCAGTTTGACTAAATTTTTTTTTCAAAATCATCTACATGTTCTCAGAAATTCAAATCTGACTTTAGATTTGACATTTGACCTTCAATGACCTTCTCAATGTCAAAAAAGGTCAAAAAGGTATTTTTTCATCTTGCTTCAAATTGACTAAATTTTTTTTCAAAATCATCTACATATTCTCAGAAATTCAAATATGACTTTAGATTTGACTTTAGATTTGACATTTGACCTTCAATGACCTTCTCAAGGTCAAAAAAGGTCAAAAAGATCTTTTTTCAACTTGCTTCAAATTGACTAATTTTTTTTTCAAAATCATCTACATGTTCTCAGAAATTCAAATCTGACTTTAGATTTGACATTTGACCTTTAATGACCTTCTCAAGGTCAAAAAAGGTCAAAAAGGTCTGTTTTCAACTTGCTTCAAATTGACCAAATTTTTTTTTCAAAATCATCTACTTCTTTTCAGAAGTTCAAATTTGACTTTACAAGTTCTCAGAAATTCAAATCTGACTTAAGTTTGAACTCATAATATTGTGAGCAACTAGGTGGTGACATTTTGTCATGTTAATGCCTTGTCAAATATGTAACAGAGTAAAATAAACGGCTTTCGAGAATGGAAGCATATTATAAGCTGGAATTCTTTAAAAACATCCATTGTAATCTGCAACCAAGTTTTGCCTGAGTTATTGGCAAAAACACCCATTAATCACATTGTCATCATTCATATCTGAAAGAGACGCATTTTTGAGATTTACCCGTTCATGACAGCGTCGACAATTCTGGGCTACCTTTGCATTAGTTTGACTTCGCTTCTTAAAAGAGAGCTTCATCTTCAGCAGTTTATAACTAGACTCTGCGTGCAGGGTAGTTCTGGGCAGCAGAATACAGTTAAATGTAGCTGATGACAGTGTCTATGATAATATGTTCATTATCGAATGTGCAGTTACACTTCACATTATGAATATGTTATGAAAATGGTACGGTTTATACGTTCATTTAAATGTAAAAATGTAGAGTTGATTAATTACAATGTAAATATTAAAAACGGACTGATGTACTAATCTAAACGTTTCTGTAAATTCTACGATGTAATTAAATGTTACACTTTTTTTCTCTCCAAAACAAACGGAGGAAATAAAGATAAGTGTTGACATACGAGGCCCGATCAGAAAGTAAGTAACCAACAGCTCTCATTTTTCCATACTTTATTCAATCACATTGAAATTTTCACAGATGATGTAGAATATATTAAATTATTAGACTAGACCAAAGACAATGAGTTAGCGTAAATTCCATTGTTATACCTGTTACTATGGTGACGATTGTTTTGGGTAGCCGGGGCATCCTTTTGTAAACTGCTTTGGAAGATGATTTGTAGAGTTTTATGTACATGCTGTATACCTCCAAATGACCTCATATTTTCATGCAAGACTGCGTTATTTGTTTTTTGTCTTACTACAATGGTTACTACGTTCCATTGTCTCATTTATAAGTCACTGACACATAGAAATCAATGACAAATGTGTCATATTGATGGTCAGGTTTTGGTCACAGTTTTAATCCAGTCAAATACGGTTGAAAGGGGAATTTACTGGCATGACGACAATGCTCCACCCCACAGAGCCCACATTTCCAAAGATGCAGTAGTTGAAGCCTTCTCCATGGCCATACAAATATCCCAGGCTCCCTATTCCCCAGACCTGGCCCCATGAGACTAATACCTCTTTCCAAATGCAAAGATGTTGTTACGGGGAATCTATTTTGACAGCAATGAAGCTGTCATTCAAGCTTTCAATGGCAGTTTGCAGTGTCATTAAATGGTGACCTGTTGCATGTCTTTAAGGACAAAGTGAAATGTTGCTTTAACTGCATTTACTTTATTGGTGATTATTTTCAAGGTCTATGAGTTAAAATGTAGTCCTACATGTAAATTTGACATATTTGGAGGCAATACAACATATAGAAAAAACTCTACAAATTATCTTCAAATGCTACTTCCAAAAGGGTGCCCCGCCTACCCAAAACAATTATCACCATAGCAACAGCCATAACAATGGAATTGACGCTAACCCATTGTCGTTGGTCTTCTTTAATAGGTAAATATTTTCTACATTATCTGTGAAAATTTCAATGTGATTGGATAAAGTATGGAAAAATGAGAGCAGTTGGTTACTTACTTTCTGATCGGGCCTCGTAGTGTAAGTTTTAGTCCCCAACCTTTTTGTGGACGGTGTTTGGCGGTTGGTGTTTTGCGCTCGGTGGCGGTCGGTATCTGTAAAAAATGACAGGAGGTGACAAGCATGTTAATGCCTTGTTTATTTTGACATGCTATCACAGTAACTATGGAACAAAGTCAAATATCTCGTAAATTCTACAATACGACATCAAAATAATCATGCACACCTCGGAACTTTCATTTAGCATTAAAACCTCGGATAACTACGACTATGTTTTTTTATCATAAAAGTGAATCAGATTATATTATACACTGTTCTCATAAAGCCCGTTCATTGCCAGAGGCTATAATTATGATGCTTTGCTCAACATTGAAAATACAACTTTGAGCCAATGTTAAACTCTAATATGGTCGATCTAAAGCCAACTCTCCTTTATAATTCTCAAGGTTTGACGCTCGGGTTGAACGTCTTCTCAGTCCGTTGCCAAGCTTGGGTTGTGTTCATTAAGACTGACAGAAAGTGATGGCATCTATCGAGTGTTCGAAGAAGGCATGGTGTATAACCCAAACGCTCCTACATGCACGACGGAACGTTTCATTTAAAACGCGGAAACGCTCCGGAGCGAAATAAAATGGCGGCTAATGAAGATTCCACTATGACCGTAAGTATTGTTCCTCTTGTTTCTCTTACATATCATATGTTATGGTGAAATATTATGTACCATTCGATGAACAATACCATGAGCAAAGATCTGATTTATTCAACTTCTGGTGGTAAACTGTTATTTGCTTGATCAAAGCTCCGCAGTGTAGATCGAACGAATCTGAAGATGACGATTTGACCACAAATTACGAATTAAACTTGTATTTCTATGAAAACGTTAATCTTTCTGTTAAAGTAGTAGATCACAAACTCGTATATTCTCATTTCCTAAAATCCCAGTCCAAATCCATTACTTGTTCTCGAGAAATCGCTTGTTTTCCTCGAAACGTTCCGTCGATTTAGAACACAATTTTAGAAACGCTCTTACCATTTTGTTTTGATATAATTTTCAGATTATTAGAGAAGAGTTTCGAATCGAATCTATCTCTCAAAAACGTGTTGTACTTGTTAGGCAAATTGAAACATCTGAACCTGGTGGTGCTAAACGTGCAACTAGCTGATTTAAGCCTACATTAGATTATGTCATGCCTACATATGTGCTAAATCATAAAACTATAGAAAAAAACGAAAATTTATATGTGAATTAATCTTTCTTCTATTGATGCCAAGGGGTATAATAGATCTTTTCTTTCTCTTCCTGAAAAGAAAAGGAAAGCTATATATTTCCTAAACTGATCTAGACTACCGGAGCGTTTCCAGTTCACTGTGTTAACCAGATCGGAGCGTTTTTTGAATATGAGAATGTCATCATTTTTAAGACTGGATTTTCGGTCATCAAATCACTATTACGATAATGTATGGTGCGTTGAAGCATTGGAATTTGACTAAAATATACGTTGGTGCTCTAATCTTAGCTCAACTAATAACATGTATCGACAAAAGGGGTTTTGACCGGTAGAATGACAAATACGTTTTTGAATTTTGATAACTATACTGCTTCGTACAGCTCTTCCTAATTGCTTCAAACGTCAACAGCCAGCCAAGTACAACATGAATATCACACCCATCGAATGGTATACTCGAAATATGTAACTCATACCTCTTATTCCCATTATTGGGGAAATCGTCAGACGGCTCATCATTCCCGCCAGTCAGTTTTCCTACTCCGGAGCGTTTCTTTGTTTAATTTCAGTAATGAAACGCTCCGTCGTGCATGTAGGAGCGTTTGGGTTATACACCGTGGAAGGGTTATAGGCTAAAAATTTACTTTATGAGGTTGATTAGTTTCTCTCATTTCTGACTAAGTAATACTAGCCCCAATATCCCAACAAGCATAAAAATACATTAACAGACAATCATTTTATGTGTACAGTATATGTATATATACAGAATGTGTATTGAACGTTATATCGAATCGTAATTGAATGTTAATCCAGATAGCGTTACTCCAATTAACGTTTCACATAAATCGAGGAGTGTTTTAACAAAAACCATGTTTTTCATGTTCGAACGAAGAAATACAATTATTAATACTAACAGAAAAATATATACAGGGTGAAAATCATTCCAAAGTACAATAAAGTCCCAAACATCAAACGTAATGAAAGTCAATTGCTGGTTGCTAAATTAAAAATCGGAAAAATTAGGTTGCGGTGTTTCATCATTGTCCAGATAGGTGGCACAATTGTCATTTTGCTGGGTCGTTTGGTTTACCAGTGGAGATGGGGCCCCACTACTAGGTATCCCAATGCTCAATTGCGACATTGACATGTTGTTGTCGTAATTTCCTACTTCTTGGTAGCAACCAGTGTATATTGCTTCTTGTTCAGCCCGCCTTGCTTCCTGCTCCAGTCTGGCATTTTCCCTTGCTATCTCATGCTTTATAAACCCTATGTAGTCATCGTCGGCCATTGTTGTGCCGTAAGGCTCACTAAATTGGTACTTTGATGGTACAAGAGTCGATGTTGGTTCTAATTTACCAGTTTCTATTAACCATCTTCGGTATCTTTCAGCAATGCTTTCCTTTGGGATCAAATGTTCCAGCTCTCGTATTTCATAGTGTGCCGGAGGGGCGTGCACGGGCATGCTGTAAGAAAGCGTAAATTAGTACAATTAGTACGTAAACGTTATTTTCTAACTGCATGCGAATGCCCATGCTATTATGCTATTATGTCTTCCACTGGGGATCAATTTGAAACGAAGACATTTCCATTGACTTCATTTCGGCATGGCCGGACTTCTTATACAATATTTGATAAACTTTTTTGTTTATTTGATTGTATCAACTTTATCCTTCAGATTTTAACTTAATATTTGGCTCGTATGAAGTACGTAGGTTCTGGTTCCGAAATATGATATCATCTCAGAATAGATAAAGTAATTATTTCGATATTTACAAATCCGGTTCATTCGCTTATGCCTGGGTCACATTTGCCCCGATTCATCGGCCGGCGCCCGGCCGATTGAGTATTCTGCTCAAAACTGAATACAATTGTGAACAGGATACTCAATCGGCCGGGCGCCGACCGATGAATCGGAGCAAATGTGACCCAGGCATTAGGAAACGAAAATAGCTTTCCATTTTGTAGCAATGGTACGAAGACATTTTACTTACAACGAAGACATTCATTTTTTACTGTGTACAAGTATATAAACGTAGTAGGGTCACAATTGCACTTGAAAGCACATTGCAGATATCTTGAAGGAATTCCAAAATATTTTTTGTTCTGCGTGACCACTTTACTTAGTGCATTCAGATATAATTGAAATATGCTGTCTTCGTTTCATGGTTCAAAAATAAGTCAAACGAATGCAAAGAGCACTCCGTACTACATATGGGCCAAATATTAAGTTAAGAGATTTAAGGATCTAGAGGTGATAAAATCAATAAAACAAAAATTCTTCTCAAATTCGTCTACCGGACGTCCGGTCATGCCAAAACGAAGACAGCATGTCTTCGTTTCTAGTTGATTCCCAGTGTCTTCTACGAAACACTTTATTATTAAACTGGTGAAAGCCGAGGCGATTTTCATAAGATGATATTTGAATTTCCTTAATTATTGGGATGACGCAAATTCGAACATTTGTATAATATTTCGGTATTTTGATATACCAGTACAGTGTCGTTTTCGTTAGTTAGGTTATGAAATAATTTCACTATTTTTTACCAAATAAAGATGCATCGCTTTATTACATTGTTGTAAAAACCAAATAAAGATACATCACTTTATTACATTGTTGTAGATAAGATGCATTTTGGGATCGTTATGCAACCACAAAAACAAATTTTGTATCAGTGAACACAAAGTTTTTCATTATATACATCTCTGTCAATAAATGTTAAATTAAAATACTTAGATCTGTATGACTTGATGTGTTTATATACAAGAGTATGGACGATGTATTACATTTAAAAAGAATCAAACAGAGTTTTACAAGAATTACTTTTTAGAGATGATCAAACGAATGATTTCTGAGATTTTGTTAGATCAAGAGAATTCATTGAGCCAAAGGTATGTCCAATACATCGAGTCTTGGGCTGTCCTATATATTACCGGCCGGACTTGAACACGTGTACAATATAGACAATAGGGAGGTATAAGTTATACGTTTTAAGAGATGCCTGTACGTGACCATGCAATATTTCGACCGCATGGACAACTGTCCCGCTCTCAATTCATTGTCCCTTGGAAAGTAAACACTACAACATGGGAGAAATAATCAACAGAGGACCATAATTCTATACGTTCACGTTCGCGTATATGTGTTTAAAATAAACGTGTAACTTGACCTCCCTATTGACTGGATATGTTGATATGCAAACTGAAATGACACAAATGAGACTATTCAATGTAACATTCATATTTCGAAATTTAATATAGAACATACATTATAGTAGAATACGGTGGTTACAAGTATCTATAAAATAGAGAATTTATGATAACGTTGAAAGGAATAACATGACGCATTTATATAACCATGTTAATGTATACAGTAGGCTAAGTGATAAGCAGATAATGTAACACATACACAATGGACAAAACTCCGTCTATCAATTCACTAGTTTGGTTAGTATTTAGACAACACGGTTTGATTCCCAGAAAAAATGTTAGCCATATAGTAATGATTACCCATCATGATAAACCATGACATCTCATTTCTTCTCAGTCAGGTGAAACAGAAAGATGCTATGAGTATCAGAATGATGATTACCTTATCTATCCAAGGTTTCTGGAGAGGAAATAGATTAATGCATGACCGTTCTGTTATGTTGTAGTATTTTGTACATTTTACTGTACCAAAATAATACCATTGTGGTGGTATCATTTTTGTAATATGATAATATAAATCAATAAATTAATTGTATATGTTAAAAGATAATAGAGTTGAATATAACAGAGTTGTCTCGGTCAGAGAATAGTCAGATATGGTCAATATGATTCCTCTAACCTTTGAGTTTCTTCAAAATTGGTTAATTAGGTTTGAATTTGAGAATTCTGAGAGAGGTCTGGAAAACGTAAAGGAAAAATGAGTAGTGAAATTGAAATGTTAAGAATTCGACGACATTTGACCTAAGCCTTTATCAAATATTGCTAACAATCGGTGGCATTTTTTCAGAATATACTTTGCAGACACAACTTAGTAATGTCAATAATTACTTTATTAGAAGTCCGATGTGTCAAGAGATAGAATCCCCTGGTAAGGTGTTTCAATCTTCTTATGGTAAATATTATACCCCGGTTCTCCAGTGTAAGGATCAAACGCCACCACCTTATATATTGTGCCAACTTCCTTATTTTTGATTTCTTCGAGTTCAGAGTTATACTGTCGAAGTGGGCTCCTCATATTGCTACGCGACTTCATTGCAGTTATATATGCTAATCTAGGCACACGTGACTTTATACCCTTTTTCCATTCGAGCTCTTCAATGGAGTTGATTAATTTCAGAGCGGGTTTTGCATCCTTCCTAAGCTGGCTAAATTCTTTTGAACGCCCGTATGGAGTTGTAGCGGCTGCTTGTCGCAGAATCTCTTGACGCATGCGCTCTTGGGTGTCTTGCACATCCGGGTGTGTTTGTGAAAATGTCTGGAGACCATATGCATCATCAGTGTTGTTGGCCGTATATTCCTCGACAGGATCTATCGGCAAAACACTGTAGTAACAAAATATATGTCAATGCAAATTCCTGACAAATCGACCAATCTCTATGTTCTAGATTATACCACCTTTAAACGAAAGCATATAGATCTGTGATGACGGGCTTTACGCCAGGCCCTTCGAGCACTAAATGATGACATACAGGGTGGCTCAAAAATGGCTCTATTGCTTTAGAATATAATACAAGAGGTACTACTTTTGAGTGATATAAGAGCTGAACTTTACTATTTTTACAGTCTATTGGAATGTCTTTCATTTCAGGCTTACAAATCGGGCTTGCAATCCATAAATGCATGCATTATTGACTTCAGTGCACAACATATTAAGTAGATCATTCTTGTCCACTCAGGATCATCAGCCCAGGTTGTGCATGCTTCCTCAAGATATGGGCGATACTCATCAAAACTCACTAACAGCAGTATGTGGTTCAGCGGGATGTATGTGATTCGATGGTCTATATATAGTTTGTGTGCGTTCTGTAGATGTTGGTGAGGTATGTGGTGATAGCATACAGAATGGATCAAAGTGTACAGAACGTATTGTAGCATTTCTGAAAGAGATCAACAGTAGGAACACACGTGGTTTTCACAATATTAAAAAGGTAGGAATTTCTAGCCGTTTCGTTATGGTTAATCAAGCAAGCAAAATCGCGTTATTACAAATGACTCAAGTCCAGTTGTTATATAGAAGAAGTCGAATATTTTCAAACATACTGACGATGTTTATTTTCTCAAATATTTAAATACATTGTAACTCCACGTCTACTTGCTTCATCAAAGTCCAACAAAGTCTGCCGATGCGATGGTACCAGATGAAAACACACTCTAATAGTCACATTATCATACATGAATGCATGACTCTGATGGTGAAAATGGTGATGGGTGCTTTTGGTAAAAGACAAGCTCCCGGGGACACTCAGACATCAGAGGCGGGTTACAGAAGATATAAACGCTACAGATAGATTAAAGACGCATGAAATCTTGCTTTCCCATTGGACGAAATATGTACCTATTGTTCGGTGCATAGATGGGTTGCTCCGCTGGTCGCCCGTGCGTTGACCTGGGTCTTTCCTGACGGGGTGCTTTACTTTTAGAGGCCTGTCTCTGCACATAAGTTGACGGTCTGTGCAATCCCGGACCTGGTGGGGACACGGGCCTTTCTTCTAAACTTTTTAGAATTGACAGTTGTTGATCTAGAAGTGTTCGATATCTCGGTGCCTCCTCAACCATAGGGCCCTTTGAAAAGAAGATTTAAAATGACTCGATATATACTCCAAAAAAATTGGCCACCTTTTGACAAGTATTATCTCGGCAACTGATGAGCGAAATTCACTGAAAATTTGTCCAAAGTAACACAAGAGTATCGGTAGCAAAATATAAAAATATGAAAAATATCGAGTAAATGATATGTGAGTACTAGGAAATTCAAGATAGCATGTCATAATAGCCCATACCGGAGCAACGCAATGAGAATTTTATAGCGTTTCTACCAAAAAATTTCTAAGCAAAAAAACTTTTCAGTATTTATTCTAACAATATCACTTCCAATGAATTTGAGAATGTATTTGATTTTGGATATTTGGGATGAATGAAAAGAATTAATCAGACATCACTTGGCTCCTATTAAACGCAGTGAAGGACGAGCGTGCGAAGATGATAGCTGGTATGGGAATTTTTGACATGCTATTTTGAATTTCTTAGTACTCACAGGATATTTATGTGATCTTTTTTATATTTTTACAACTTGCTAATGATACTCTTAGGCTACTTTGTACAAATTTGGTTGTCGAGATATTACTTGTCAAAAAGTGGCTCATTTTTGGGACACCAGATATATTAAAACGTTCTGTTTATTACGAAAATAACTATTTTCTTTAGTGAACTTGGTTGACAAGAAACTAAAGAATATATTTGTGAAAAATTGGAGAAATGATATTTTAAAATATCCCATATTAAGAACATATAAGCTATTTAAGAAAGATTTTGTATTAGAACCATATACGAACCGCTAGATAATAAAAAATATAGATCAGCAATAAGTAGATTTAGGTTAAGTTCACATCGGCTAAAAATAAATTGGGAAGACACACAAAACCCAAACCCAAGCCATTAAATGAAAGGTTATGTAATACATGTAAATGTGTGGAGGATGAATTTCACTTTATCATAAATTGTACAAAGCATTCTCAACACAGCGAAATATTTTTCAGTAAAATTCCTGAAATATTACCAAACTTCAATCTGAATAGTAACAATTTATTTACAAATATAGCTTCAAATAATAATATCATCTTCCAACTGCATCTCATCAAATTTTATTATAATTCATTTAACAATCTAGACTTATCAGCATTGTGCATCACACTTTAAAATATTTTGCCTCTCTTGTATGCTTTCAGTAAATATATTAAATCATGTATATGTGAATGGTGATACTCTACAGGAACACTATTATTTACTATTTGCATGCATGATCTACATGATTTTGTACCTCAACTTCATCTAGATCGCCGCTGTCTGAAGAATCATCTTGTTGCGCATGCGCATGTCTTGGAGAAGCTTGTTGGTGTTGGTAATTCTCTTGTTGCAGCCGCTCCTTATATCTTTGCTCATGTTGGTCCCAGAATTGATCAGTCGAGCCCACTGGACGAATCGCCACTTGAGATGGAACGTACGTTTTGCCAAATGGTTTGGGAGTTGGCATATCGTAGTTAGCCCGCTGGGTTGTACCTTTTGGGGAAGATTTGAGATTAGCTGGTGGTGGTCTTCGTAGGGAACTATCTTTTACCCCTGTGGATACTGCTGGAGAAACATACGAAACTCCCTGGTGTTCTGATGTGGGTTTTGTACTCAGATATTGTGTTTCATACCGTGGTTGCGCGACAGAGCTCTTTCCACTTGGATCGAAGAATTTTGGTCGCATTGCTTTACCCGAATTTCCTGGAGAAACATGGCATTAAACGTACATAAACTGAGGCATATACTAGCAAGGGATATATTTTCAGCTGTATTGCAAACATTTCAAAAATGAAGTTTGATCAAGTTTATTATTCATCGCCTTTTGTGCAATTTTGACACATGTCATTCAACTTAATGTTATAAACATGTGCAATATCATGCCTGTACCTTTAAATAAGAATTTGTAAAAGGCATGGTAAATTCAAAGCTAACAGCCACGCAGCTAGGCCACAAGCGCAATACTTTGAAGTATCCAACAAGCTGCCCAAGGGATTTTAGCAAAGAGTACTAGTGCACGTAAAAAATATTGCGTAAGTCTTTTGCCTCACTGACGGACATGGGAAGTTCAATGGGAGATAGGTGCCTTCTCACACCCTTATGTGACCCTTTCGATTCCCAGGATCGGACCATCCCTGTTCCTCATACTTGATATGGACGTGTCATGACTTATTCAGCGCTGCTTTGAACTGACATAAGATTGACAACTTAGGCTTGTGAATAGTGACATAGTCAGCTCACAAGCAAAGAGGATTATGACCCATGATGAGTCAAGAAGATCAGCCGGTGACATTACTCTATAATTTTAGCTCGATAAAACCAAGGACGGTACAATTCCCGACATTTCACTTATTTAGCTCGTGTAGTTTAGAAGAAACGCCCTATTTAGCTCCGTTGGCCAGTGACTCCGAAAGCAAGCATTTGTATACCGCGCGTTCAGACGTAAATATTAGAGAGGTTAAGCTAGCATCTAAAATCGAAACGGAAACCTGTACGTGTCAATCGCCCATATACAAATGCATGTTGTGCTCTCACATAAATAGCCGTTCAGCTCCAGTGTTTATTTAGACTTCACCATAGCGTGATTCTATAGTATGACATTGATGTAGTTATATAGCTGGTTTTTAATACATATTTTAAACGAGCTCGTTTTCGATTTTTGGAGCTAAATCATAACATAACATACATCATCGTCTTCAGAAAGAATTCTACTGTGCATTGAAATCAAAATTGCAAGCTTAGTATCGAATAGACACAGCATATCAATGGTTCCCGTTGACACCAACGTCAAATTTTGTTTCACCCGTTCTAAACACGAAGCTGAGAGTATCTTTAATAGACTAAAGCGCATATAAAACTATGCGCGTTTGATACATTCCTTTGTTAATCCATGTACTTTCCGTTCACGGTTACGTTGTGAAAAACATTGCAAGCTTAACCTCTCTATAAAACTACGGGCTTTATGGTATGAATTGCGCGCGTCCAGCTACAGTCGTTTGTTTACGCAGACCTACGCGTGTGGAAACGTAAAAAGCGGGCGTATATCCACTGCCGTTGACACAAATATAAATAACGCGTGTTGTATGAACACACATCCTCGCACGTTCGGTCTTCACTGCGTCCATCGGGACCGACGGGAGCCGAGTGAACGAAGATGATGAACACACATGGTCAAAGGAAATATGTCCATTTTGCATTGAGCAATCTTGTATTCTTTATGAGAATGTGTTCGGAGGATATGGTCATGGTCTTCGTTCATAACGTTGCCTTGTCGTAAATGGGCATCATATTCCACCAAGTGAAGAGAGTTGGTCATAAATCGGTATGTCCACGTATTTTTATCAAGGTTTAACTGTAAGATATCAGCAATGACAAGCGTGTGTACTTTGAATTGAATTCGTTTTCTTCAATAATTTTTACATTAAGATCAAAAGTAGGTGTTTCTATTCTCAATTTTATAATAAATGATTCCTCATAATATTTACTCTACATTTATGATGTTCACCACTGTTCGGATCCCGAACTCCTCTCATTGCAATTAAAGATCAAGATTTTCTCTTTCTCTTTGTAATCTTGCAAAGTTAAAAAAGCCAATGAAGAAGTAATATTATTAAAAGATGGAGATGAAAGAAATAGTATTTAACAAAAGAGTTCTTTGAAAGTTCCCCTTTGATGGAACCGAACAATGTGAAAAAATATTGATGTATAACATTTCAAATAAGTCGTGATTTACTTTGAAAAACATTATTATATCAATAACAAATGGAATACTAGAAGATATAATATGTCGTACATTTGATGGGACCTCAAAATAGGAACAAATATTGATTATTATTATTATTAAATCTAATAAAAATCTAATAAAAAAAAAAGAAGATATAATATGTCGTACATTTGATGGGACCTCAAAATAGGAACAAATATTGATGTATTATGTTTCAAATAAGTTGTTACGTAATTTAAAAGCACTGTATCATATTACCTTGAGATGGAATGGGAAACGTTATACGTCATTATACTTCTGTGTCAAGTCATCATGGTATTCATGTTCATTGTAGATAGATTACTGGTCATAGTCAAATACTTTTATTATCAAAACTAGTAGGCTATAGCAGAACAACACTCTATTACAAGCAAATTCGTGATTTGTTCTCAAATTACCGCGCGAAGCTGATACTGAACGCAAGTTTGTCAGAATGGTCAGTAAAATGATGTAACGCGCAAAGGTTTCGTCTGAATACGCGTTTCTAACGTCAACAAAAGCATAAATAAACGCCTACATGGCACATGCACCGGGTAGATTCGCCAACCACAAATGATACACGGACCGAATCGCAAACTACCTCAACCTTTATTGATAAAACTCTTAATACAAGGTTGTCACCGCCTGCCATTTGTTACAGACGCCGACCAACGAGTACCAACCGCCGAACGACAATATGTCAACTCTTTTGGCAATGACATAAAAACAACTTACCCCCTCGTTTCTCAAACATATGTTTGCGATCTGATACACGAGCAGGTTCATATTCTTCATCCTGGAAGTCCTTGTTAGATCGCGGCTGCCAAATCACCTCGCTTGGTCCTGGTCTGCCGGGCTGGAGGAAGTCCAGCGTCTGCGCTACGCGAAACTTCATGTAAGCGTCATTGGTGAGTTTGGGACGTGTGTAGTCTTTGGCGAACATGTAGCGTCAAATCTAGAAGAATGAGGACCGAGTGGCTCTGAAATTATAGTTACATCAATTATTAATTTAAAACCCATAAGTGTTAATAATAACGCGTTTGGTGGGCCCTTCTAGAACGACGCTGTGTGACAAATCCTGGTTGAAAGTGAAATGCATGTTGTAGCTGATAGCTAGACGGCCATCCCAGCTTCTTCAATGTTTTCATAGTGCATGGAGCTAAGAGTATTGTGTCCTTTCCTTATGTACTTACCAGTGTAACATGTATTGTATTTTGTCCAATAAGTATATCCTCTAGAGTATTGTGTCCTTTCCTTATGTACTTACCAGCGTAACATGTATTGTATTTTGTCCAACAAGTATATCTTCTAGAGTATTGTGTCCTTCCTTTATGTACTTACCAGGTAACATGTATTGTATTTTGTCCAACAAGTATATCTCCTACAGTATGTTTCCTTTCCTTATGTACTTATCAGTGTAACATGTATTGCATTTTGTCCAACAAGTATATCTTCTAAAGTATTGTGTCCTTTCCTTATATACTTACCAGTGTAACATGTATTGTATTTTGTCCAACAAGTATTCTAGAGTATGTGTCTGAAACCGCATAAAAATAAAATAGCCGATGACGTACCTTAAGGTGGGACCCGGTCCGTCAGCATAGCCAGCACGATACTATTGCTCAATTATTAATGTAGTTTTTCAAACTCAAAGACACCCATCCATACGAATAATTATGATGTAATAATAATACCAATGTATTTAAAATTTCATGTACGAAGAAATATTTGCATCTTCTGGCATCTATAGTTGGGAGATTTAGCGTATTGCATTTGAACTATTTGAGCGCTAGTAACGTCATGGTTTCTATGACATGGGAAAACAATGGCGCTCAAATTTTACGTGCAGCATCGTGAAGTATATGGCGATGAATGATTGAATTTTTCCAAGTCATATTATTATAATTCTTTCAAAATATAGTGAAACTAATTAATCTAAAGCACATAGTTTGTTTGATCTACATGTACAGCATATGAAATACATGATGTGATATAAACACTAGTTGAGTCCTGATCACTGTGTACATGGTTACCGACACGTCACATTTAATGTTGCTCAAAATAATATTATGTTGCTCGTCGAACTATTTATATTTGTAAATACATATTACTCTATATTTATGTTTAATAAATTCAAAAATGACTTTTGTTCGTTTTATTACTTCGTAAAATTGTATATTCTCTTATATGTAAAACGTTTAAGAATATTCTTTTTATTGGCACGACTTTCGTCCTAGTTCAGTTGTTGTCACTTTCGCTTTCGTATGAGCTTCGTCTACTATTTTCTTTGCCTTTTTTACATTTTTTATATATGAATTGTTCATTCGTCATGGTAAAATGTTTGATAAGAGATATCTTAGCACCCAAGAACTTTTAAAACTAAGTGCAAGTGGCCCAATGGCAACACAATGAATCAATGCCCAATGTCGGGAGTGCGAAGGGGCGTGTCCCCAGGTGTGGTAGCCTATGTTGCCACGCCAGGAGACCCCGGGGTTGAGATCAATGGTGGTTTACGGCGACTGATCGTCGCTAATGAAGGCGTTATGAAGGTATATGTACTTAGAATTATTATTAAGATGAATGAAAAACATTAGGCAAGTTACGTCTGTGAGTCCTTCACAATAAAGTGCCAGGACAACAGGCGGAAAGTGGCTGAGACTGCAGAAAACCCGAGCCATCAAATTCAGAATGCCTGATTTATCAGTAGGCCTATGTCCTATAAGTGCATACTCTTTGATTCTCGAGAAACGTCTCCACGCTCGAATTTCACCTATCTATCACTAATGGATCGCTTTAAAAGTGATACCATCGAGAAACGTGTTTGGTCAGCTTCACGATGACATTATTCTTTTAGAAATCGACCGAGAAATAGAGAAGAAAAATATTGTTAAGTGAGAAGAAAAATATTGTTAAGTGGCATTTCTAAAACGTCGAGTTTAAAAACCTAAAAGTGGATTCGCACTGCAAGAAACCCGACCAACCAGAACGAAACATTTCTTATGTGAAACTTGGAGTTCAAGAAATCGGCTTTACCCTCGATTTCCTCCATTTTCTTGCAAGTTGATCACCACAAAAATGGCACCACATGGAAGCTATCGTTCCTATCTAATCCATGGTATGATTTATTTAGAAATCAGTCAATAAGTATACAGCGGAGCCATAAACAGATAAATGCAATTTCTTAAACAGCCAGTTTAGACCGAGAATAGTGGATTCAGACTGCAAAAACTTTATGCAAATTAGCTAGTTCACTTTTGGTTAGTAGGTCGCATATCTAGGTTAGTAGGTTAGTTCTGTCAAGGCCGCGCGTATATCGCTATATAAACAGATCTCGGTCTGCTCGACTTCATTATTCCGACTAAAAAACTGGTAGTGATGAGATTAGAGAATCATGTCTGGCGATGGTAAAGGTACCTAACATGAAATATTCGCGTACGGCAATCCACCCCATCGTATTCGTATACATTGTAAGCTTAGGCTTAGTCTACTTTTTTAGAATAAAAATATCTAGAAAAAGTTTATGAAAAGATGTTCTATCAAATTAGATGAGTTGTTGAATAAATTAGTAGAAGAATTCATCAATGTAAATTGATGTTAACGCAATATGGTGATTTTGTTTTGCAAAATATTTCTTATCAACAAAATTGAAGGAAATAAAAGAAATGCAATAGCTTACAATATAAGGTACTTTAAAACAAGCTACGATTTTTTTTTTTTACAAAACTCTGCGATAAATTGGCATTATCGTGGCGTATAAATGTTGAAATTAAAAAATATATCAAGCCGTTTTTCTGTTTCCCCTGCCCTCAGGGTAAAGCGTAAGAAGAAGAGTAAAGTAATATATGGTTTCCCATAGGATCTTTTATACTTTGTACACACACACTTCAATGTAACTTGTGTACTCATTCAGTGAACTCAACAATCGTACTTGTTGCCGCAGACATTGGGTACATCCCGATCGCGCTATTTATTTTGTCATTCAATAATGACGATCATTCCACATATGATATGCTTGACTTTTTTATGTACGCGAGGAGTGCTGACTTTTTGCTGATGAAACGTGAGTTTACAAAACGATATTACATATCAACAAGCGAGAACAACGTACCAACGTTTATTAACTTGTACGTACATCAATAGTACCCGAGCCTTATCGTAGTGTATTTTAACTAAATCAAGTCAGATGTGCACAGTTTATTCGACAAAGAAGCCTTTCTGATTTTAGTATTGACCGGTGATTGCAAACGTTTGATGATCACCTTTACTTGAGTGAATTGCCAACGTGCGCGATCGGCGGAGCTTCTGGTTTGCACATCATGAAAATCAAAATAAAGAAGAGCCATAATAATGGGCAATACTTACTGAAGATAAAAAAGACGATATCATTCGATGCTATGATTTGACACAACGTATACGTATTTAAATCTCGGCACGTAAAAAACGAAAGCTTACTTTTAACTTACATTAATACTCTAAATAGCAGGTACATGAGGCGATAATTTAATTAATAGTTGGTTATTTTGCGATCAGCCGCCGTTGATTTAGCACGTTTCTCACGGTCTTTGGACTAGGCCTATAGACGTCCTTGATTCTCAAAGACTGTGAGACGCTAACTTTAGTGGTAGTAATTCATACCAATTGAATTATATTCAAAATCAACGAACTACATTAGATTCAGCAAGGCTAAACCCCATTATCCTGGGAATCGTCTTAATCTTTGTCGGATCATTCAGGTGAGAAATTTATGACGTAATTCAATTGTTCTCTCCGCCAACGGATAGAATTGGATGCCGGTCTTTTCTCAAAATACAAGGTACTTTGACTGAATACTGTGACTACAATTTTTGTAATCTTTTTACAGAAAACTAACATAAGCATAATCATATTCCAAAGAAAGAAATGTTGAAATTTAAAAAAAATCTATCGAGCCGTTTTTCTGTAAATTGGGATCTCCCGAGGGTAAAGTAAGTGTATGGTTTTCCCATTGGGTTACATGTTAAATATGACAATTTAAGCAGCATAGGCTCCTCAAAAATACGATCTTTGAACCTTACTTACTATATCTCAACTTATTTTTTTCTGTTTAAAATTTCTACAGCATATGTACACCACTTGTTTACATACACTGTGCGATTTTCAGGAAAATCTATCGAGGATTTTTTTTGGCTGACGGACCAGGTCCCACCTTAATTTCTGTCCTTAATTTCAATTCAACGCTAGCAAACACCCGATCGCGATGTGTACCATGTTCCAGTGGCGAGTTATGCTTCTGACATAATTTTAGCTTAATGTTGTTTATATTAAAATCCTGTATTAGAAACACGACATGAACAGAGCCTTTGACCAAATACTCTATTGAGGATAAATATGGCATTTAAATCCAATAGACTTTCTGATCTAATGTTTTATGCGTAGCTGAACTAGTCTACCTCAGCCCCTTGTGACCTTGTAAAAGGTTTTAATTCGGAAGCTGGAAAGAATCAAATTATATGATCATAGGCTTAATGCAAGTGTGTATTTTAAAGTTGTTATTGTTTGCAGGTTGTGTAATGCACTTAACCTAGATCTTGAGTCCCTGGAAAGAATTTCATGTTAAGAATAAGTTGGCATACCTTGTATTACCTCAGTGAACTCGTAGTACAGTGTTACATAAATGCAGATAAATTAGAATAAGTTGACCATATTCGAAATTTTTTTTATGTATAGCCAGCGTGTATACGTAGGTGAGATTGGATTCATAGAAGTTATTAACATGTTAAAATTACTGGTTTGTATACGTATTCAGTTGTGTGCGTATACGCAAGTGAAGTTGATTTTAGTGATTAACTTGTGGAATATGCTTCAGCATCATGCATATTTCAATATTTTACCACATGTATGAAAACACCTACTTGAACTAAATGTGACAAAAGACTAACATACGATGTCAGAAAAAAGCAACTGATTTTCGTCTCACTTACTATGCAACAGCGTCTGAATGTACGCGAATGGCAATCTCCTTGAAATAAATATTTAAAATAAATCGATCTACTTTGTCTCGAGAAGTCTACATCTATATCAGTCTCTTGAATTCGAACCTCTCGTGTTCACTGTGTTTTGTATCAGCAGATACGATGTTGTTTATATGCCGTGATGTGCTTTATTGCGAAGTTGACATATCCGAACATGGCAATAATCTTTTCATCGCACACGCTAGATAGTAAAACAAACATTAACTTCAAAAGTTATCATTTTTATTTGAATGGTCATGTTTGAAAAGTTCAAAAAGACCTCATCCCAATTGTATCGGGCGTGTTTAGGATCTTTAGTACGACGAATTGCCCCGAAAGCATTCAATACGGCATATTACTTTACAGATGAGTTTGGAAATAATATGTGAACATCTGTTGCCAACCTTTTGGAGGGGGTGTATTGTAGGCTATGGCATCTGTTTATTATGTCCAAAACGCAAAAGATTCAGACATATATGCTCTTGGCCTAAATTAGAATGTTTTTTCCCTGTGGTGCTTGGGTGCTGAGCACAATTAAGTTGGTTTGGATAATTATGCTATGGGCTGAGACTAACATACATTCCGCTCATTAAACTTGGAAACCGAAAGTTTTCATCGAGATAGCGTATCAAATATTTTAATCATAATTCTATTTCTAAATTACAATACATAATACTACAAATAATTAATTTTCTTTCAATCGCCAAACCAAAAAGGGGCTTTGCTTTGACAGGTGATCCAAATGGTGACTTCCTAGTGCCAAACTTAGCTCAAATTTGGTATGTTAGCCTCAGATATAGGGAAGATTCAATGGTCCATCCAAATCACATGAGACTTCATTGAGGATCGAGGGGGCTCCTTATCGTATCAAAATGTATAAACATATGTCTGCAGATTTTGATTCTTCAAATCTTCATTAATTCGTGGAAATACCTGTACCAAATTTGTACTGTACTGTATTTTAGAGGTGTCTCCTAAAGTAGCAAGAAAAAGCATACAGGCAAAACAATTCGTGTGTTTAAATAAATTGAAAAGTTACATTTGATCTACAATCAAGAACCGCAGAAGTACACATACTGTGATGACAATAAAATAAATCTAGAACTCTTTATCAACAAAAACTAATCACGACATATCACAAATAATAGATTCTGTATATCAGATATAATTTATCATAATGTCATTTTATTATCATTGATGTAATTGTGACGTGTTGTTTGCTAAAATAATATATCATATGCCAAAAAGCTATTACTTATTATTAATTAGTAACATAAAAATGTATGACCGATTAACCGATTTAATTCTCTGATGAAATGCACTTACCGAAAACAAGTTTCCTGTTTAATCGTTCATATTGCTATTAAGAAGCTTTTAATGAGTTAGGGACTAACCTGTTTTCCCGAGGCCTTAGTGTATAAACTTTGGAGTTCGGCCCAATGTTATGATATAACATATTAAAATAGATATATCTAAATATATATTCACTATCGCTGCCGAATGTTTTGCGAATCAGCTATGACGGGATGAAACAATAATTCCACATGGGCAAAATAAGTCACTTGTGGTAGTTGTATCAAAGAAATACTAAATGTAAATGACTCCATACTAAAGCATAGTATCAATGATTTCACGAGTGTTCAGCTTGAGAACACACTTTTGAAAATGAGCTTTTTACTTTAAATTGATACATAATTTTGATTGATTTGATGAACTATACAAAGTGATAGCATTTTTTATGTATTTTTGTTGGACTTTTGTGCATATATTATTAGCAACACATTTGACAAAAACATAATAAAACTGAAAATTGTATTTTTTCCAAAGAGCAATAATAAAAAACGAAGTATATACGCAGGTGATGTGGATCGTTCCGTTTTGGAGATAATACAGTCGCTTCCCCTACTCTAATATTCCCAAACGTGGGGGATCAAAAAGTGTTCTACCTTTAAGTAAAAAACGAAGCCGATGACATTAATTCTTTGTGATTGATTATGAAGCATAATCGTGTCGTGGTCATTCTACTATAAAATATGTACATTTTATCGTCAAATAATTTTTAGGCTACCGAGGATACAATTACCTTGAGTTTTTGAACACACCATGATATAAAGGATTTGTTTTGAAAACTTTTCATTGATGGGGGCTAGGCCTACTAAATGTTTATTTTGTTTATCTGTATTCTGGATCTATCTATGTACAGGGTGACAAAAATGTACCACCTAATAATGTTGCATAACTTTTTCGTCTGCATAAATTTTGACTTGCTCCTTAGTAGATTAAAATTATACTCCATGGAGCAACTTCATAAGAAGTTTCAGGATGACTAGCTCAACTAGGTGCACTTTTATAACCGTTACATTATGTGCTCTAAATGTTGTCCATTCCATTGGTAGCACACTTCTGGACTCTACTTGCAAAATTATTGACCACATTCGCCTGACATAAGCCATCCAATGCTCATGTGTATGTAACTAAGCTCTTAACCATAGATAGAATACCTGAATATAGAGATCACCAGAGCGATCAGAGTCATTTCTGTGAGGGAAATGTGGTAGGGTCGTAGATATAGAATCCATGTGTGCCTGACATTTAGAGCACATCTTATAACGCCCATGAAAGTGCATCCAATTGAGCTAGTCATCTGAAACTTCGTGAATCATGCCGGCAAAAAGGTCATGCAACATTATGTAGGTGGCACCTTTTTTGTGTCACCCTGTATTCAGTTTTAATAAGAGTCCTTGAACATAAACTTCGTGAAGGAGTGATACTCTCTTTGTTTAGCAATTTCTTAAAGCGAATCGAGTAAATTAATAGTTTTTGGGAATTTGTGAGTGTGTGAATATTGAGAAACCAGGTACTTACACTTGATAAGAATTACAATGATCAATTACGATTCAACCGTGAGTGGGCAATCCTAATCATACTTTTAAAATCATGGAATTAATTCCCATCTACTGTAGGTTTAATACTTTTATCGTGTCTCTGCATAAAAATTCCACACAAGTCCTAAAATTAAATGTTTTGGGGGGATTTTGGCCATTTTATTGAAGGGAAATTCTGTTGAAAAAACTGCAAAATTTTTCCTATAATGGCAAGTCCATTAACGGCATTTCAATGAAAAAATTACAAGGTCGCTGGCTTTAAATTATCGGACTTGTATTGGTACTTGTTGATTGTAAACCATACACTTACTTTTATTTAGAACACATTTTCAAATAATCAATTATTTCGGCAGAGAGAGTCAATGGGAAATGCAATAAAATAATACTCCAAGAGAATATCGAAACAATTATCTGTTCCCTAGTACCTAGCAATCGTGTATTACGTACGATCTGCAGTTTTGAGGAAATGTGATATTTACCTGACGTACAACAGGTGCAACAGCCTTGAATACATATACAGGCATACATGTACCATAATTAAGGCCACCAGAAATAACATCTATATTAATATACAGAGATCAGATTTCCCTCCTAAAGCTTGCAATCAGAACAAGATGCTGGGGCTACTGCAGTTCCGATGACTTCTAGTTCAGAAACAAGATGGCGGAAAAATGTGCGATCATCCCTGTTTTGTATTTCTAGCCGCAAAAAACAACTCCGCTGTTAAATTCTCCTTTCCTAGTTTTAGCAATAAACTTTTTGAAAGAATCCTAACAGTGCATGCGTCGAGAAAAATTTGGCCCTGCTCTTGGAATAATTGGAGACAAGACTGTCACTTATTAAAATTCTTAAAGGAACAATAAGTCATTATAACATTCTAAATAAATATATCTTAAAAATGGTGCTACTCTCCAGGTTTTAGAGGAATACACGTTGTTTCTCATGTATGAAATATTTTCCAATTTACCATCGATTTCCTATTTTCAATGTCCTCTCAAATTCAAATTCTCATACTTTTATACAATTAAAAAATTTTAACTCATATAGTTAACAGAATAAACTGATTTTTTTGTAAAATGCACAATATTTCATACATTTATATCATATATTCTACAGTGAATGTCGATCGAAGTCATCTTTAAATTCTTGCATTATTCAATAAATCAGTTTTAGTTGCACTGCGTTTATTTCAGTAATAAATTACAATGAAATGTTGTACGTCGGTAATGTTAATTAATGATCATGATTTCATAACCATTTACTTCAGTTAATTAATCAATTTTCATTATATTATATTCATTACTTATAGTTTTACAAATGAAATACAAATAGGTTACACGTTGTTTATTATATTATTGAATGATCGTGATTACATAACTAGAGATAAGAGAATTAATTGAATGACATTAATTTATTGAATAATGTCTGACACGGCGGGAGTCGCGTTTTATTGCATACGTTCTGTAATTTATGATCATATCAAGTCATGAATATTTATAAGTGACAAAAGCCTACATACTTGTAAATGAGCTGCTTATGACAAGCTCATTTCATCTGAGCAGAACTCTTCCAGGTTTGTATACGTTTGATCACATATTTTGATTCCATGATCAAGCATATTACGGAAAGAAAAAACATGTATCAATATATTTTGGAAAGAAAAGCTTACCTGTATGTATAATCATTCATAAAGACTGTTAAACGGCGTATCCTACTTTTTATGAAATCAAAATATAGAAATTACAAGTATCAACTTACGATCTGCTTGTTTTATAGCTCCCCAGTTTCTTCCTACAGTCGGTTCCTTTGCACCCAGTGTCTATAAGTCAGGTACTTAACTGTTATATATTGATTATGTGTATAAATGTAACAAACAGGTGGTGATGGTTCGGTGGTTCGACGGCCCTTACAGCTCTGGATGTGAAGAACGCAGGGCCATAGGCCATGTTAACCCGACATTTTGTGTTAAAGCAGTCATGTTAACCAGATCGGGTTAAAAACTGCTGACTATTTTTTTGTTTCAAATATTGAGACTGACGACGTTCTATAGGCTTCATTATGGAGAACACAAATACACTCCCCCCGGGTACACTCCCCTCAAAAAAGTTAGCATTCATACATGTGTGTTGAAAATGCCAGTGTACTCACAATGTATTATTTCTACATTAATAGCTCCTAGTATTATTTTTATTCATTTAAAGGTTGATCTTATCACAGGTGATGTTATTAAATCTTCAACATGCACTTACTCGTGGATATCTGCCAAATAGATTTAGAACCATTTAGTTTTGGCAGTTTTGTAAATAGCTTATTAAGATAAGGACATTTTCACGCGATGCGTCACACTTTTTAGATACGAAGTTATTATGTCACGAGTATTAAGCCTAATGTCTGTGAATTGCCAAACTAATTAACTAAATGAAACGAGTTATTGAGACAGGATATCATGACATACTAATTGCCATGATTGTGCTATTCCAATAAGTATCATGATACATTTACAGTAAGTTGTAAATGTATCCTTTAAAATCGTGGTGGTAAGTAACGGTTGCTCCGTTTTCATTGAATTGTTACACTCTGCCATGAACTTTTGGATTTTAAATGTGGATTATGTCAGGTTTTTTGTGTCATACAACGTGAAAAACAGAAAAGTTGTCATAACGTTTTGAAACTCCAATAATCGAAACCAATGTTCGCACACGAATGCTGTGTGCGAACGTCAGAATCCAGCGAAAGCATCTTCTGCTTTACACCCCAGTCACATTTGTCGTACGGCGGCCGTGAGTCGACCGCGGATCAATTAAATCAGTGAATTTCTGCGGTCCCCGTACAGCGTATGCAGATTTTTACAGGCCGCAGAGAAGGTGTAGAAATTATAACTCGGAGTTATAATATTTTTTCATTTCTGCGGTCCCCGTAGAAATCAACAAGTCGTAGCCAGACCGCAGAAAGGTTCCACGGCGGCCACGCGTCGGGCTTACGGTCGACTTGTGTCTGCCGTAGGGTTTTGATGGGTAATGTACCTTTGGAAACAGGTTTTAGGTCATCTTTTCTGTCATTTGCTGTAAAAAAGCTCGCAAGACGATTTCAAAAGATCGATATATTGTACACATTCGGCTTTCAAATTTCCATTTTATAATATCTGTTGCCTACTCTGCCTAGCCTCCTTCAGTTTCACGCGGAGCCAACTACGACCGTTAATTTGAATTTTAGAAGGATTGTGAGTCTGATACTGCACTGTTTTACATCAGTCTTGTTCCATTAAAAGCCGAATGCCCATGCAGTGTCTTGGAATATGTTGAAGACAAGAACTAACAGAGTATAACAGAGTTATGAATAGAACAAGTTTGAAGAAAAACGGTGCAGTATGAGACCCAAAATCCTTGATTTTCAAACATCTAGTAGGTGTTGATAGTTTTTCGTTTATAGTTGGACCCCTGTGTTTTTGTTGTTGCGGTTTTTCATGGCGGATGTCAAACGGGGCCTCATACATTTCTACAATCTTCGGAATGGCAGGCAAATCATCTTCTTCTTCATCACCAGATTCATCAGGAATAATATTATGAGTTCAATCTTAAGTCAGCTTTGAATTTCTGAGAACTTGTAGATAGATGATTTTGAAAAAATAAACTGGTCAATTTGAAGCAAGTTGAAAAACGACCTGAGAAGGTCATTGAAGGTGAAATCTCAAATCTAAATTCAGATGTGAACTTCTGAGGAGTTGTAGATGATTTTGAAAAAAGAATCGGTCAATTTAAAGCAAAATGAAAAAATATCTTTTTGAGCTTGAGAAGGTCATTGAAGGTCACATCTCTTTTGACCTTGAGAATGTCATTGAAGGTCAAATTTATAGCCAGATGTGAACTTCTGAGAATAGTTAATTTTGAAAAAAAATTGGTCAATTTGAAGCAAGTTGAAAAAAGACATTTTGACCTGTTTTACCTTGAGAAGGTCGTTGAAGGTCAAATCTCAAATCTTGAGTCAGATTTGAACTTCTGATAGCTTGCAGATGATTTTGAAAAAGAATTGATCAATTTGAAGCAACTTGAAAAAATACCCTTTTGACCTTTTTGACCTTGAGAAGGTCACTGAAGGTCAAATCTTAAATATAAAGTCAGATTTGAACTTCTGAAAACTTTTGAAAAAAAATTGAAGTCAATCTAAACAGTATTTGTTAAGTTATTTGAAGTTGTAAGAATTTGTTACAGACGCCAACCGCCAACCGCCATCCACAAACCGCCGTCAAAACAACGGAGACCAACACAACACTTTTTGGTGGTGACATAACAAACCCAAGTGAAAACACTGGTAAACATATTAAAATTAACAAAGTATATTCAAAGGTTTACACGCTTTCTGGAAATGCACTCGTAGCTACTCATCCCTGTACATAGCACCAAGAAACTTACATTCGACTGATTGTTCTTTTGCTGGGTTTATAGAGCACTCCATACTGGAATTGATTACACCCATCTTATTTTCTATTTACGAAGTTTGATAGGAATATTGAGAAGCCGTCCGTTCGTCCGTCTGTTTGTTTGTCCGTCTTTCATTTGGAGTCTTTTCCTATGTCTAGTTGTAACATATCGTCCCTTCACCATTATAAAGATTAATCCTATGGTAATGATAAACTTCTGTATTGTTTCAAAGGTAGCGCACAATGAATTATTACAACATGAAAAATGATAGTAATATGAGCCATAAGAGCTTACTGCTCAACATAAATGTATATATGATGTAAAATAATTACTTTTTGTAAAAACTTTGCGTGCAATTTTTATGCAATTTTATTAATATGTACGTTGAAAATGATCCATGAATAATATGGATATGAAATAAAGATATAATAATAATAACCAGTACAACAATAATGGCAAACAATCAAGGCATTTAATTTTTATATAATACGAGTTACTAAGCTCATACATTTATTCAAACTAGGATACATCAAAAAGGGTCCGATAAAAGGGACCAAAGATTTACACGTGGGTGTAAAGATTTGTGAAACGCAATTCGTTCCTTGAAACGTCTTCGGCCATCTTCGTGTTTTAAATATATTCGGTTGCGAAGCACCAGTGCTTTCTCGTTCATGTGGTTGATAGTTTTGATGGGAAACCATCCCCATTGTATGTTTAATTTACAGAGGGAGGTTTACATTATAACGATATTTCCCTCCATTAGAATCAATAATTAGTATAACTAGATTTTGGAAATTGAACGAAGTTCAATTTCAGACTCCAGATCTAGAGTTTTTTTAGCCGAGTCATCCAGAATAAGCCGAGTCATCCAAAATAAGCTGAGTCATCTAGAAAGAGATGGATAAATAAAATAGGAAGGTAGGATAGGTTACAATAGGAAAGAACGATAGGATAGAATAAGAAAGAAGGATAGGATAGAATAGAATAGGAAGAAAGGATAGGATAGGATAGGAAGGAAAAGATATGAAGGAAGGATAGATAGGAAGGATAGGGTAGGGTAGGATGAGATAGGAAGGATGGATGAATTTTTCAATATTTTCTTCTCTCCTCTTGACTTTCTATCAGGATACCATCAGATCGATTTTTCTCGAAATTTCAAAACGCTATCACTTCCGAACCGGAAGTCGGATCGAAATTTGGTTTGCAGATTCGGATTCCTAACAAAATTCTACCCCTAATTCATAGCTCATACGTTAATTTTATATTTTGACCTACTTCTCGGACACGCCATAACTTCCGAACCGGAAGTCGGATCGACATTTGGTTTGCAGATTCGGATTCCTGACAGAATTCTACCCTTAATTCATAACTCATATATTCAATTTGGAGAATTTTTTATTTTGACCTACTTTTCGGACACCATATCTCAAAAGTGGGTCAAAATACTTTCTGACGGCAAAAGGCTAACACTATTAGCATATTCTTGGCTACATGTATACACAATTTCGAAGAATATAATTAAAGTGTAGTGTCAGAATCGAAAAAATAAGAAAAACCTATGAATTTGACCTAGATTTTGACCTAGGCATTTCGGTGTCAAAATTGTGAAGCTAGATGGCTTTTGAGGTCCCCTTCTTTCAAAGGTTTTGATTATATGAAGCTGAACTCAGTCTATATTCCGTATTTTTCACTTCAAAAAAATATTTTTTCCCATTGACTTAACATGGGCACCAAATTTAGCGATTTTTGGGTTTTCAAAACGCCATTACTTCCGAACCGGAAGTCAGATCCAAATTTTGTTTTCAGATTCGGAATCCTGAGAAAATTTCCTATAAGAATAATATCCTGGACATTTGATTCGGAGAACTTTTTTTTGGACCTCGTTTTCGGACACTGATATCTCGAAATCGGTTTGAGATATCAAAAAACTAAATCGACCCTAGGTTTCCTACTTTTTTATAAGGAACACAATGAAAAAAAAACGGATCGAAAATATTGAAGGACGACCGAGAAAATCGAAAAAAGTGACAAAGTACTGGATTTGACCTAATTCTTGACCTTTGACCTAGATAAAAAATTTGACCCGATTTCCGAGGAACTAGATTCTGGACCTAAATTGACCAAATGACTGACTTTACTGAAAACCTTACGGTTATTGAGAAAACTTGCTTAGAATAATAATAACTAGATTTGTGAAATTGAACAAGTTCAATTTAAGACTCCAGATTTATTTGACCTAGATAGATCAGTAAAGAGCTGAGTAAGTAACTGAGTAATTAGCTGAGTAAGTACCTTAGTAGTAGTTGAGTAAGTAGCTGAGTAAGTAACTGAGTAAAAAGCTGAGTAGGTAGCTGAGTAAGTACCTGAGTTAGTAGCTGAGTAAGTTGCTAAGGAAGTAATAACTAATTAAGTAATTGAGTAAGTAGTCAAATAAGTAGCTGAGTAGGTAGAGAGGTAAAGTAGGGTATGCAGGAATTTTTGAAAGTATATTTGATCAATCTGCATCGTGAATACTGGCAAGTGCGAATTTCAACTTCAAAATGACGTAGAATCTAAACCGGGGGTCGGATTGCAATTTTAATTTCAGATCCAGATTCCTGAGGAAATTCTACCCCTAATTCATAACTCATACTTTAAAATTGGAGAACTTTTTATTTTGACCTACATTTCGGACACCATATCTCAAAAGTGGGTCAAAAACTTATTGACGGCAAAATGTTAACATTATTAGCACACTCTTTGCTACAAGTTTACAAAATTTCGGAGAATATCATTGAAGTGTAGTGTCAGAATCGCAAAATAAAAAAAACTATGAATTTGACCTAGATTTTGAAATAGGTATTTTGGTGTCCAAACTTTGAAGGAAAGTAGCTTTTGAGGTCCCCTTCTTCTATGGGCTTTCATTATGTTTAGCTGTACTCATTCTATATCTCGTATTTTTATACTTCAAAAAATTATTCGGTCCCATTGATTTAACATTGGGCACCAAATTTAGCGATTTTTGAGATTTCAAAACGCCATAACTTCAGAACAAGTAGTCGGATCGAAATTTGGTTTGCAGATCTAGATTTCTGAGAAAATTCTACCCTTAATTCATAACTCATACGTTAAATTTGGAAAACTTTTAACTTTGGCCTACTTTTCGGACACCATATCTCAAAAGTGGGTCAAAATACTTTCTGACGGCAAAACGCTAACACTATTAGCCTACTCTTTGCTACCTGTATACAAAATTTTAAAGCAAATCATTTAAATATAGTGTCAGAATCGCAAAAATAAGGGAAAACTATAAATTTGACCTAGATTTTGACCTAGGCATTTTGGTGTCCAAATTTTGGAGCTAAGTAGCCTTCGAGGGCCCCTTCTTTAATAGGCTTTCATTATATTAAGCTGTACTCAGTCTATATCTCGTATTTTACACTTCAAAAAAATCTTTTTTCCCATTGACATAACATGGGGCAGCAAATTTAGCGATTTTTGAGCTTTCAAAACACCATAACTTCCGAACAGGAGGTCGAATCAAAATTTGATTTGCAGATTCGGATTCCTGATAAAATTCTACCCCTTATTAATAACTCATACGTTACATTTGAAGATTTTTTTATTTTGACCTACTTTTGGGACACCATATCTCAAAAGTGGGTCAAAATACTTTTTGACGGCAAAAGGCTAACACTATTAGCACACTCTTGGCTACATGTATACACAATTTCGAAGAATATAATTAAAGTGTAGTGTCAGAATCGCAAAAATAAGGAAAAGCTTCGAATTTGACCTAGATTTTGACCTAGGCATTTTGTTGTCCAAATTTTCAAGATTAGAAGGTTTTGAGGTCCCCTTCTTTTATGGGCTTCCATTATGTTTAGCTGTACTTAGTCTATATCTCGTATTTTACACTTCAAAAAAATATTTTTTCCCATTGACATAACATGGGGCACCAAATTTAGCGATTTTTGAGCTTTCAAAACGCCATAACTTCCGAACCGGAAGTCGGATCGAAATTTGGTTTGCAGATTCGGATTCCTGAGAAAATTCTATCTTTAATTCATAGCTCATACGTTAAATTTGGAAATTTTTTATTTTGACCTACTTTTTGGACACGCCATAACTTCCAAACCGGAAGTCGGATCGAAATTTGGTTTGCAAATTCGGATTCCTGAGAAAATTCTATATTTAATTCATAACTCAAACGTCAAATTTTGAGAATTTTTTATTTTGACCTACTTTTCGGACACCATATCTCAAAAATGGGGCAAAATACTTTCTGACGGCAAAAGGCTAACACTATTAGCAGACTCTTAGCTACATGTATACAAAATTTCGAAGAATATAATTAATCTGTTGTGTCAGAATCGCAAAAATAAGGAAAAACTTTGAATTTGACCTAGATTTTGACCTAGGCATTTTGGTGTCCAAATTTTGAAGCTAGATGGCTTATGAGGTCCCCTTCTTTTAAAAGCTTTCATTATATTTAGCTGAACTCAGTCTATATTTCGTATTTTTCACTTCAAAAAAATCTTTTTTCTCATTGACTTAACATGGGCACCAAATTTAGCGATTTTTGAGCTTTCAAAACGCCATAACTTCCGAACGGGAAGTCGGATCAAAATTTGGTTTGCAGATTCGGATTCCTGAGAAAATTCTACCCTTATTTCATAGCTCATATGTTAAATTTGGAGAACTTTTTGGTTTTGACCTACTTTCAGGACGCCATATCTCAAAATCGCGAAGAGTAATCAAAAAACGGATGGCACACTCTCGATTTGTTTTTTTCTAAGCTACATGTAGAAACTAAGATGAAGTAGTTACGACAAACAACAACGAAGATAATTGACAGAATGTTGGTTTGACCTTGATTTGACCTAGTTCTTGACCCTTGACCTAGATAAAAATTTGACCTAATTTCCCATCATCCCAGGAACTGCCCCTAGTTGATCATGTAAGCAGCTTAAAGTAAATTCTTTTAGTTGGTGAGAAATCTGGGAAGGAGGAAGATTCTGAAAGAATAATAATAATAATAAAGAAAACTGACGAAAGCAATAGACTCCAGATTTTCATCTGGAGTCTAATAAGAAGAAGAAGAAGAAAAAGAATAATAAGAAAACTGACGAAAACAATAGACTCCAGATTTCATCTGGAGTCTAATAATTTAATTTATAACATTTTTTTTTATATCAATGAATAAAAATATTAGTATGAGCATATTATCATTTTTGTAAAAATATATAATGGTATGTGTCGATAAATATTGAATCACAAGAATAGGCTGACATATATAGTAAAGAATGTAAGAATTCCACAAACTACTCTGTTCGAAGAATTGTTTTCATTTTGTATAATGAACTCTTGGTACAATTGTTCTGGTATGGACACCATGCAATGTTTCATGATTCCCCTTCGTATCCCCAGTGTAAAGACATTCGGTACGAAATTCTGATGATATTCGGAGCTAGCGTTTCGGCCACAATCAGCGGTTATCTTGAGCTTGTTGTCATGGAAACACTCCATTAAAGTAACAGCAGACCTGAAATTTGAAAGGATTTGATTGGTTGTCATGCATAAGTAGGCATGTGTAATCACTTTTTGGTCATTGAAAGCTGATGATTGACACAAAAAATGGTACAATGCATAGTTGGCTTGTTCTCCAGATCTGAGAACACAATGACGTCTTGAAAAAATGTTTACCTGTTAAATTTGGTTTTGTTATATTTATCAACATTTCATAAAATGTTTTTGTCATGTGAGGTGTACAGAATAGTACCTTGTACGGTAGCCTGAAATTTGTTAAAATATGATGTTACTCGTACAAGATGCATGGTGCACGATATGACAAATTAACAGACGGAAACAAGAGAATCAATGGTTGTCGGTGTTCGCGTCGTAACGTAATGTTTGATTTCTGAGCTGTTAAACGTCAACTGGTAAAAAGCTTTCTAATGGTGTACTGAAATGGTTAGTCAATTTTAATCCCGAAAAGAGAACGCACTTAATATTACATCGTGTTCAGAATTCAGTAGGCTATGACGATAACAAATCATTTTTATTTCGAAATTGTACGTTAGATTTCAGTAAAAAATTAGGATAGATTCCCGTATAAACGATAGGTTGGCTAATGGTAGGTCAGGAAACTAATGCAGGACAATTAAATCGAGGAGACGGTCATGCCAAATTTGTTTGCTTGCCTTTCGTTGAAAGGAACAAAATCGGTTAAAAAACGTTGCCTACGATTGACATTCAAAATCGAAATATTAATATTTTAAGGCTACAAATATGGTCGGTCTTCTACATGATATGGTCGGTCTTTAACACATTTTCTTCAAACCCAGTTTTGAGGCTACCAGTGGAAAACACTGACCACTGAACTCTGAACACTGGTCGGTAGGGTCGGTCTTTTTCGTAAACCCTTGCATTGACAAATCCAAGCTTATACTCCAAACCTACTCCCAACACACCATTTATAGCCGACCAATCGGGTTAACGATTTTTGGACCACAATCAAAGATGGCCGAAGAGCTAATCATAACCCTTCAAGGATTTTGATTGGTTCTCTGAACCATCTTGGGCCATCTTTTTGATATAAACATCTTTGGTCGCTGTCCACTGGCGCTTTCTCTTTGTACATCGGCTGTGTTTTTTATTGTAAACTGAGTACAATACAATGATGACACAATAAATAGTTGCTTACATGCATGCCTTTTTAAAGTCATCTTTCAGGACAGCAAAGAGGTATGTGTTGTCAAACTCTCTGGTGCATTTTCGTGTTAGTGTAACATAAGGGGCGTAACACTCAGCATTCTTTAACCTCCCTGAAATGCAATACAATAATTTCAATTTTTAATTCATTTTCCTGAGGGTACGAATAAAAACTGACTTTGGTATAAATGAGTGGAAAATGTGTTTGAGATTGGATAATGAAAAATACATTACATATTGGACCTCTCGGTGGAGAATCAAATAAATTACTAAGCATGTCTGTTGAGTCAAAGATCCACTAACCAAGCATCTTGATAGAGCCAAAGATACCCGGGCATAGATCCACTTATCAAGCATCTTGATAGAGTCAAAGATCCACTTATCAAGCATCTTGATAGAGTCAAAGATCCACTTATCAAGCATCTTGATAGAGTCAAAGATCCACTTATCAAGCATCTTGATAGAGTCAAAGATCCACTTATCAAGCATCTTGATAGAGTCAAAGATCCACTTATCAAGCATCTTGATAGAGTCAAAGATCCACTTATCAAGCATCTTGAAAGAGTCAAAGATCCACTTATCAAGCATCTTGATAGAGTCAAAGATCCACTTACCGAGCCCCTCTGTTGAGTCAAAGATTCACTTACCAAGCATCTCGATAGAGTCAAAGATTCGCTTACCAAGCGCCTCTGTAGAGAAAAGGATCCACTTACCAAACAAATCAGTTGAGTTGATGATTCACTTACCAAGCACCTCTGGAGAGTCACAAACGAATGTATCTCCAGTAAACATTTGTCTAGCGCCATCTATCTGTTTCTGTGAAACAAAACTGCTACATTGTCTCTCCAGTCTTAAAAGGCACAGATCGGTGTTGTTCCAATAGCTAATAAAATAAAAAATAACAAAGATAATAAAATAACAAAGATAATAAAATGATAAACAATAACAATAAACAATTATAATTTCAAAACAACAACGTGAAAACCTAAAATGTTTGATAATGATTTTATTCTATTATCTGGAAACCATAACAAATCACTCTAGTTTTGCAATTTTAAGTAACACAGTTTTACATTATTATAAAAAATTAATAAATTATTGGAGTGTTATATATGAGATATAAGTGGTTCTGACTGCACGTATAAAATCAGACTAATTGAATCATATGCCATGCCGTCTTCTGTCAGTTCTCAAACAATTATTTCATATTGACTGCTGGAAGTCTGGTTTTGTCATCCATTTTGCCAAATAAATATCTACGTATTTGTGGTCTAGAAAAATCTTACTCTACATGTATTCTTTCTAATTCTATCTCTCTCTGGGGAAACCACATAAAAAACTTTTGGGCACCTATTTCTTAATTGCGGCATTTTTGAAAAAATTGAGATGGACGTAGCTAATTTTAAAAAATGGGGAATGTTATGATAATGGGGGATATGAATGCCCACGTAAATGCCCAAATGGATAAAGATTTCATTCAGGACGATGATAATGACGAGCTTAATGATTTCCTACCAGCAAATTACCAAGTAGATAATGTTATGAGGGACAGAAATTCAAAAAAATATGAAAAAACTGATGCATGGGGCAAAGAAATGCTAGAGTTATGTATTTCAAGTCAGATGCGTATTCTAAATGGTAGGACAGTGGGTGATAGTATGGGGAAATTGACGTGTTACCAGTACAACGGTGCTTCGACAATCGACTTCTGTATTGTAGATGTAGAGTTATTAAAAAAGTATTGTTTTTTAAGGTTCAAGATTTAACAGAGTTTTCTGATCATTGTCAAATATGTGTTGCATTAGACATGGTGAGAGTGTTGAACGATAACGAAGATATTACGAATCTAGAACCAATTCCCGTGACTCCTAAATGGAATGATATTATTGCTGAAAAGTTTAAGGTACACATGAGCTCAGTTGGAGTTGAACAAGAAATAAAACATGTTATGGGAATAAAACTTAGAGAGTATAATAGCAACAAAGATTACCTGAACGATATTGTTAAAAAAATAGTTGATATTTATAAGCATGCAACAATTGCTATTAAATGTAGGCCAATTGTAAGTAGGGGTCATTCTAAAAACAAGAAGGTGAAGAACAAATGGTTTGATACAGATTGTAAATGTTTGAAAAAACGAATAAGAAATATTGGAGTACTAGTAGGGCAATGCCCAACAGATGGAAATATTAAAGAATTGTATAGATTAAGAAAAATATATAAATCAGTTATACGTAAAAAGAAACGAGAATATAAGGATAAATTGGTGAGAGGTGTAATGAAACTAGAAAAAAATGACCCGAAAGCATTTTGGAAAACCATAGAGGAATTCAAAGATGGTAAACATGATGTTAAGGATGATAAATGTAATCAAATAGCTCCCGATAAATGGGTTCGATATTTCAAAGATTTAATGAAAGAGAATATGGAACAAGTTGGTAAATATGATAGCAAAAAGGATAATAATTATACTTTTATTGACATAGAACACTTTAATCGTGGAATATCAATGAAAGAACTTAAAAAAAGTATAAATAAGTTGAAGAGCAATAAAGCCGTTGGTTTAGATTCAATTAGAAATGAAATGTTAAAAAATAGTCCAGACATGTTAATACAGGTGATAAGAAATCTTTTTAATAATATCCTTGACAATAACATTTACCCTACTCAATGGAGAGAGAGTCTAATTAAACCTTTATTTAAAAGTGGAGATTATTTATTACCAAATAATTATCGTGGGATTGCGTTATCAAGTGCAATGAGTAAATTGTTTGCGGATATTTTGAATAAAAGAATGGAAGAATTCATAGAGTCGCAAAATATAATTCATAGAGAACAAATCGGGTTTAAAAAGAATTGCCGAACTGCAGATCACTTATTGATATTGAAACAGCTAATTGATAAACACGTGACGGTAGGGAAATATTTATATACATGCTTTGTAGATTTCAGAAAAGCCTATGATAGCATACCCAGGCCACTTTTATTGCAGAAATTAAAAAATCTAGGCATGGGAGGCAAAATATATGATATAATCGATAACATGTACTCAAGTGTCATATACAGAGTAAAACTTAAAAACGGGTTAACAAGTCCAATACACTCTAAATTAGGATTAAAACAAGGCTGCTTAATCAGTCCTTTATGTTTCAACTTATATATAAATGACATAATAGATATTTTTGATGACCAATGTAAGCCTGTCAAAATCGGTAGTAATGATGAAACGTTAATAAATGTACTCTTATATGCGGATGATCTGGTCTTGATATCAGAAACAAATGAGGGACTACAATACTGTCTTGATAAACTAAAAACATATTGTTCAAAATGGAAATTAAACATTAATATTGAAAAAACGAAAGTTGTGATTTTTAATAAATCAGGAAAAATAATAAAACACAGTCATTTTAAATTTGGAAGTATAAATATAGAAAAAGTAAATGAATATAAATATTTGGGATTTGTTTTAAAAAGCTCTGGGAGTTTGAAACATGGCATATCAGAATTAAGCAAGAAGGCGATGAAAGTTATTTTTATGATGAGACAAAATTTTAAGTTTTCAACTATCAATGTAGAATTGCACACAAAAATCTTTGACATGTGTGTTAAGCCTATATTATTATACGGAAGTGAATTTTGGTCAATGCTTCACTTGAAAGTTGACAGAAGGATTAGTCAAGGGGACCTTAAACTAGAGAGTTCTTATGAAGACTTTATTCCTGAAAAAATACACAATAAATTTTGCAAATTCCTTTTAGGGGTTAACAAATATACTTCAAGTTATGCCGTTAAAAAAGATTTAGGAAGATTTCCATTAGCTATAGACTCACTTATATATTCCATAAAATATTGGTTGAAATGTGTGCATCAAACAAACGCGGATAGCTTAATAAATATATAATTTCGGGATAAAAATAACATATATGTCAAACATATGGAATGCATATTAAAGTACTTTCATTTTCAACATGTCTTTGAAAATGGGAGTACGTTTGGAATAAAACGATTACTAAAAGCAATTAAACTTGAAATGCAAAGAAAATATATAGAACTTAATGATAGAGCTATAAGGGAAAATAGAAAACTTGGAAATTATATAAAAATTGATTACAATCTGGAAAGATATTTAACATTAAGCGTGAACAAAATGTTAATTTTTAAAATGGCCAGGTTTAGATTAGCAAACCATAGTTTAAGAATTGAAACAGGGAGACACGAGAAAAAGAAAAAAGATGGCACTAAACAGCATCGACTTGAAATAAATGAAAGAATTTGTCAGATTTGCAATAAGGGGGAAGTAGAGGATGAAAGGCATTTTCTTCTTGTGTGTGATGGCTATAAAAAATGTAGATTTGAATTTTTTAATAAACTAAGTTTTATTGACACATTTGATAATATGTCGGATAAAGAAAAATATAACTTTTTGATGACTTCTGATGATTTTGAAATTGTTAACGAATTGATACATTTTATAAATAAACTTTTTAATCAGCGTCGGGAGCTATTTGAAAAAGGAAAGATTGTATGATGGTATTTGTGAAACAATGCATGTTGTTTTTTTTAACTGTATAATTATATGTAAATGTCTTGTAATTGATTTTGTGAGGAAACCAAGTGTTTGGTTTGAAACACAATAAAATCTTGAATCTTGAATCTTGTAAAATTAGAGAAAGGGAAAAATGAAGCGAAATACAACGCACAATTTTAATCTCTCCCCTTCATATGGAGGTTCCTATGTTTTTCGTCATAGTATTTGTACATTATGCATAACAAGCTATCGATTCAATCTATAAAATATATTTCTAATTAGTATGGTGCCCTTGGCAAAACCAATCTGCAGCAAAATAAAGTAACAAGTACAAATCCAGTACAATCTTTATTGTACAACCCTTTACAATCGTTTATGCTGCTAAACCTCTCATATGAAAAGTATATTTAAAAATGTTGTCTCATTTCTTTTTTATTCATCATAGATCCCATAAGCTAAAAGCAATGGCTGAATCGAGAAATACTCTTATCGATACTATCTAGTGTGTTCTGCAGTTTAATGTTTGATTAACTGGTCACTGAATTTTGAACACAGCTTTTGAGATGGTCCTCTCATCCAAATCTTTAAATGCTGCTTCAAAATCTTCGAAAGAATAAACTTTCACTCCTAATTTGTCAAAGTTTAACATATTTGACTTGTACATATCTTCAACAAGTGTGACGCTCCGTTTGTATGTGAATGGGTCTATAATTGATCCCATAACTGTGAGTTCCCTTTTCTGGATATAAGACAAGTCCAGTTGCAGTTGACTATCCTTGGCGTACACAGCAAACATCATTACAGCACCACCGTACTCCATACGCTCGAGACCAGCTTCAATCGCCTTGGAAGAACCGCTGCAATCCACCATCAGGTCATAACGATCTGTCCATTGATTGCTATCAGTGGGTGATCTAACTTTGATGTTCAACCCGAGTTTCCTGGTGATTTCTCTTCTGAACTCGGATGGTTCTGATACGGTGATGTTTCGGAAGCCTTTCATATACAACATCGATGTCCATAGTAAGCCAATGATACCCGCTCCGTTTATCAAAACTCTGGAATCACTGGAAGCTCTAGATTTGATAATATCCCAACCTCTGACTATACAAGACATCGGCTCACAGATGACACCCTCTGCGAGTCCTAACCCACCATCTTTGCTCAGCTTGTAGACCTGGGGCTCTGATATTACCACATACTCGGCGAGGCCACCATTCGATCTATTGAGCATTTTCCCATATTTTTCACAATGGTTCGGACGTCCCCTTAGACAGAATTTGCAACGCCCGCAGCTGGTGTTGGGATCAATTGCAACCCTATCTCCTATGCATACACTACGTACAGTCTCTCCAATAGCGGTTACAATTCCTGTGAATTCATGTCCGAGGATTCTCGATTCATACTCGAATTTCTCAAACGGAATCACATGTTTTTTTATAATGTGAAGGTCTGTACCACACACAGCGCAGAATGCAACCCTAATTTGAACGTCTGTTGGATTTACTATCTGTGGCTTTGGAAGTGTTATTATTGACAACCGTTGCTCTCTACTTAGTTGCAAAGCCTGCATCGTCTTCTATGGCCTTGTCAATATTGTCTGCACCTGCTCTATTTGTTATTGTCTAAAGCCTGTGTATATCATATTTACTTGGTCAAGATTAGCATGACAGTCACTCGTTAAATGTGCTGATAATGTGACGATAAAATGTATTTGGTTAATAATTATTAAAAATATAGTTACAGATGGTTCTACGTAATGCAGCAAGCCCTCTTGCACACAAATAGATTAGACTGTCTTCCCCTCTCCGCCATTCAAAGAACGATGATATAATATTTAAACCAAATCTTAAGGTTTGCTTTCATTTGGAATAATTAAAGGGTGGCTTAAAATTATGTTAATATGAGAGCCACTTACCTGCATAATTCATTTTCCTGGTCCTCTCGATGTATGGACTCGGAGTTTTCTCTGGCCTTACGAAGAAACTCTGCTATATCAGACGTACAGTTCTCTAATCTGGTTTCTACATAATCATTCTCACAAAGCTCTCCACCTGTTGCTGTAAGAACGCCTGAAACGATAAATGAAGTAACTGGCGAGGTTAAGCTACACAATACGATCCTAGGGAATACTGTCCCATTCTCTTTTGGTTTCTCCAGGGACTATAATTACAACTTTTTCTCATAAACACCACTAAATCGGACAGTAAATACTACGAATGGGAGAACCAATCCTAGATGACCGTACTTCTACACGCTCACGCAAACAATCTCCTTAGAACGTGTAGCTTGCCCTGGTTTTCTGAAACGTTGGATGGGAAAGGGACCAGATTAACATTCCGATTTTGTGGGATGTTGTTGTTCATAAAGATATTTCAGACTGAATAAAATTGCACATTTGGTATATGTCTTCATTTATCACTGAAGGTTTTGACGATAAAATTAAATCGCTTCCTGAATTTGTACCATTATCACTGAAAATACAAAATAAAATGCGTACAATTAGTGTTGGAATATGGATGTCATACTGAGTTTATACCAAAACATATCAGTCAACCCCCCCCCCCCTCCCCCATCCCCGTAGACATTCAATGATGATGAACAGAACACTCAAAATATAACATATCTATGCAATAAATACCTCCTCCCCCATATAGGTAACTTAAGCATGCTCCATTTCAAGGTGTATCTCTACTTACAGGTTAAAGTGGTAATCCATATAAGATGAACAAGTAAATCCATTTTCATGTCTCACTTTCTCATAAATGTACAGGTTGTTAATGAACACTTTAAAATATTTTAGCAATTAGTTCATCAAACTCAATCAACGATTATGAATCTGATTTGCGAATCGTATGTCTCGAGGCAACTTTACAATTGTTGTGATCAAATTACTATTGTTACAGTATTACATTCTATTATATTCACATTAAGTTTAGTTTATCAATATGCATATACTGTAACTGATCTTCATTAGAGATCTTAGGTCAAGGTCACAATGACATTATATCTTGTAAACATAACCGAACTGGATGACTCATTAACTCTTGGCCTTCTAGAAAGTACTGGAACTGTAATCATTTAATCAACATTGAATCATGTGACTTAAGATGTCCAATCAGTGTTATTTTCTAGAAATCGTAACTTCTTGAAACATCTGGACTTTGCCTTTGAACTATATAATGAGAGAGCTGATTTAGGCTGTGGGCAGAATTTCAAAGTTTATTAAAAGGACATCTTCTTAGCGGAATATTATAGACACCTACTGTGGGAACATTTATAACACTACAAATATACAACCTGAGGACTTCATATGGACATATATTACAACACACACTATATACGGATTATCATATACATTCGTGGATTATCATAAACATTTGTGGATTATCATCAAACATTTGTGGATTATCATCAAACATTATTGGATACGAACATTATAGGATTACAACAAACATTATTGGATTATTACAAACATTGGAGAACTATTAACGATTATTGAAACATTTCGTGATCTGGATCATTCTCAAGGATCGTCAACGACATTTATCGACATCAAGAATAAGCCGTACCATTGATTGGACATCACTTAAGTATTAAACCTCCTTTATATTATTGTTATATTATTTAGTTTTCAAAGTATAAATATATTGTTATCATATTTTAATTGCTGTTTTTACTTTCTGTTATTTTCGAACGTAACAGAAATTGGGGGCTCGTCCGGGATCTAACTACAACAAGCTAAAATTCAAATATTTCAAAATTAGAAATCCAAAACTTGTACATTTAAATTGTGAAGACAGCAATTAATTGAAAATGAGTTTTGAGGTTGAGACATTTTTAGAAGCGCCCTCTTTGGAGGAATTTGATGATTTAAAGAAAACTGAACTTCTGGCAATTGCAAAACATGTTGGCCTGTCAGTCAAAAGCTCATACAATAAAGGTACAATTAAAAACTTTGTACTGCAATATTTGGTCGCAGAATCACTTCTGCCTGAGGAGCCAGCCCAGCATGTCGAGCATACTGATCCTGTTAGGCTTAAAGAACTTGAATTGAGAGAAAAAGAGTTGCAAAATGAAAGAGAATTGAGAGAAAAAGAGTTAGAAATTCAAAAAGAAAGAGAAATTAGAGAATTGAGAGAGAAAGAATTGCAAAATGAAAAAGAAATAAGATTAAGAGAACAAGAAATGCAAAATGAAAAAGAAATAAGATTGAGAGAACAAGAAATTCAAAAAGAGAAAGAAGTTGAATTAAAACGTCTTGAATTAGAAGCTCAATCAAAAACTGATGAACATGCTACTATGCATCAACATTTTGAAAATAGGTTTGACGCTTCAAAATTTCTCAAATTTGTACCTAAATTTCAAGAGAAAAATGTTGATAAATACTTTACACATTTTGAAAAAGTCGCTCAGAGCCTAGACTGGCCTAAATCTGCATGGCCAGTTATGCTTCAGAGTGTATTCACTGGTAAAGCAAGTGAAATATTTGCCTCTCTCTCAGCAGAAGTATGCTCTGATTATGACCTTATTAAAAATGCGATTCTTAAAGCTTATGAACTAGTGCCAGAAGCTTACAGACAAAAATTTAGAAATGCCCACAAACAGAGTGACCAAACACATGTTGAGTTTGCTCGAGAGCAAGAGCAGCTTTTTGACAGGTGGCTTGTCTCTAAAGATGCATCCGAAGAGTTCAAAAAGCTCAGAGAGCTTATGCTCATAGAACAATTCAAAAACTGTGTTCAGTATCACATTAGAACTTACTTAGATGAACACAAGGTAGAAACTTTAAGTCAAGCTGCCACCCTGTCTGATGATTATGCTCTTACTCATAAGGGTAGTTTTATCAAGGGCAATCCTAACTATAGGGGTTATCAGGGTAACAAACCTTCATATGACTCTAAATCAAATCAGTCCTCATCATCAAATACATCAAACAAAGCAAAAGACCAGTCTAATTCATCACAGAGTTTTAGCTCAAAATCTGATCAATCAAATTCTTCAGGTCCAAAATCAAATGTCACCTGTAATTATTGTAAAAAGCCTGGTCATCTTATTTCTGAATGCTATAGGATTAAGAATAGAAGAGAGATGTCTGGTTCTGCTCATTCAAATGGTTGTGCTACTGTTCCCATTTCAAGAAAGCCCATTGTTTGGGATTCATATACTCATACTGAGAAATCTACTCATAGTGATGTTATGGAGGATTATAAGCCTTTCATGTCGGAAGGATCTGTGTCACTGTCAAGTGATGATACCAATTCAAAGCCTGTTAAGATTCTTAGAGACACGGGTGCATCTCAGACTTTGTTGTTAGAAGGTGTCCTTCCTTTATCTGAGGAGTCATTCACGGGTACCCATATTTTGATGCAAGGCATTGAATTAGGTTTTACTAAAGTTCCCCTCCATCGTATTCATATCACATCAGAGTTAGTCAAAGGGCCAGTTATTGTTGGTGTTAGGCCACAACTTCCTGTTGAAGGAGTCGCATTGCTTTTAGGCAATGATTTAGCTGGGGGTAAGGTATCATTAGACCCCATTGTTTCTGATCAGCCTTGTTCTATTGAGGATTCTGTCCAAGAGGACTCTGATATATATCCTGCTTGTGCTGTTACTAGGGCTATGGCTAAAAGGTTAGCTAATAGCGGGGATTCGTCTGTGGGAGATGACTTTGATAGTGGGTTTTTAAGCTCCTTGTTTGATGATGAATGTCACTCACCACTTGTTAAAGATGATCCTTATCCTATTTTAAAGGCAAATTCTTCATTGAAACAGCCTTCTGTTCGAGCCAAGCAGTCATCTATTGAGGCAAATTCTTCATTGAAAAAGCCTATTGCCAGAGGTGATTCACCTTCTGAGCAGGATCACTATTTTGATGCGGTTTCGCCCGCTCTTGCTAGTCCCGATGAAGTTTCATCTTCTTCTGCTAGTGTTCATGAGGTTTCATCTCCTCCTTGTTCTGAGGTTTCATCCTCTATTTCTGATAGTGATTCTTTGAAAAATGATCCTCATTCTAAACACATGTTAATTTATGAACAAGAGCATGATCCATCACTCATTGATCTTCATAAAAGATGTCTTACTATTGATGAAGCTGACAAGGTCCCTGTTTGTTTCTACAAAAAGGATGGCATATTAATGCGAAAGTGGAGACCTCCTGAAGCTTCCCCTGAAGACGATTGGGCAATTGTGCATCAAATTATTGTCCCAAAATCATATCATAAGGAAATCTTGAGTCTAGCTCATGATTCGCCTATGGCAGGTCATTTAGGAGTAACTAAAACATACCATAAAATACTCAACCATTTCTATTGGCCCAAATTAAAACAAGATGTCCAAGAGTATTGTAGGTCTTGTCATACATGTCAAATGGTAGGGAAACCTAACCAGAAAATTCCAACTGCTCCTTTACACCCTATACCTGCATTTGATGAACCATTCAGTAAGGTTCTTATTGACTGTGTTGGTCCATTACCAAAAACAAAATCTGGTAATCAATATTTACTCACTATTCTTTGTATGGCCACACGGTTTCCAGAAGCGATTCCACTCAGAAATATCAAAGCCAAAAATATAGTGAAATCACTCATCAAATTTTTCACCTTAGTTGGACTGCCAAAAGATCTTCAGTCTGATCAGGGCTCAAATTTTATGTCAGGCTTATTCCAACAAGTCATGGATACCTTGGGTATCAAGCAGTGTAAGTCAAGTGCCTATCACCCAGAGTCTCAAGGAGCCCTAGAGCGTTACCATCAGACGCTTAAGACCATGATTAGAGCTTTCTGTTTTGAATATGAGAAAGACTGGGATGAGGGTATACCCTTGCTTCTGTTTGCTACCAGGGAGGCTAAGCAAGAATCATTAGGGTTCAGTCCATTTGAGCTAGTATTTGGTCATTCTGTGCGTGGTCCACTTAAATTGCTAAAAGAAAAGTGGCTGACAGAAACTGAAAAGTTTAATTTATTGAACTATGTTACTGGGTTTAAAGAGCGCCTATCAAAGGCTTGTGAAATAGCCAGAGAAAATTTGCTCAATAGCCAAGATAAAATGAAAACTTGGTATGACAGAAAAGTCAAAGAAAGATCTTTCCAGCCGGGTGACAAAGTTCTTATATTACTGCCACTTCAGACAAATCCGCTACAAGCAAAATTCTATGGTCCTTATGTAGTGGATTCCAAGGTCAATGACCTCAATTATATTGTCAAAACTCCAGATAGGCGCAAAGAAACACAATTGTGTCACATCAATATGATGAAAAGGTACTTTGAGCCAGACAAAGAGCATGACTCAATTAAACCTGTAGTCACTTTGGCACCTGTCCTTGAAAAAGAATATGCTCTACAAGATTCAGATGATATCAATTGTACTGATTTAGACTATGAAGATATCAAAGGTTTGTCTAGGTTAAAGAACTCTGAAGTATTATCAAATCTAGATCATAAATTGCACCATGTGACAAATGATCAAAAACGGCAAGTCACAGACTTAATTCATGAGTTCACTGATATCTTCTCTGATGTACCGACTAAGACATCTATAGCTTATCATGATGTTGAAGTCCAAGATGTAACCCCTATTAAGCAACATGCTTACAGAGTAAATCCATCAAAATCAGAAGATTTGAGAGCTGAGGTCAATTATATGTTAGAAAATGACATAATTGAAAAGAGCAATAGCCCATGGAGTTCACCTGCTTTCATTGTACCAAAATCAAATGGTGGACGTAGGCTAGTAGTTAATTATATCAAAGTGAATCGAGTAACAAAGACCGATTCTTATCCCATACCACGAATTGACGACT